ATGGGTGCTGGTGCTATTTTTGGCAGCCCTGTTTCCCATCTACCTCCCTGCTTGTCACCTAGGAAAAGCAGTAGAGAAAGGCCCAAAGCCTTGGAACCATGTGGCTGCATGGGAGACCCAGAAGAGGTTCCGGGCTCCTGGCTTCAGATTGGTGTAGCTCCAGCCATTGTGTTACTTAGGGAGTGAAACAGCAGGCAGAAGATCTTCCTCTCTCTCTCTCCTCCTCCTCTATGTATATCTAATAAAACATGGAGATGAGTTGAGTGTGGCTGTAAGTTGGTGATGGTGTTTGCGGTGTCTGCGTCCGGGGTGGGAGCGCCTAGTCTTGAGTTCTGGCTCCACTTCCAGTGCAGCTTCCTCCTGATGACTCCGCTCGGTGGGTCCCTGACAGCCACATGGAAGACCTGGGCTGGCTCTGTGCTCCTGGCTTTCGTCTGGCCCGCCCCCGGCTATTGCAGCACTGGGCTGTCTGTGTCAATCAACCTTTCAAGTGCAAAGAAAGCAGATGAGAAGGAAGCAAGCAGGTGGAGAGGGACATGGCCCTGGCAGCATTCACAGTGTACTAGCAATCTCCCCAGTGCGTTATAACGACAGCTCTGATGTCTCTCTCTCCATGCCTGCATCTGGCTCGATCTACACACAGGGCAGGTAGTGGATAGATCGACTAACATTTGAGTACTACCCAGCAGTCATCATTTGGCATTTTCCACGTAACGTCTCATTTAATTCAGCAATCACCTGAGCTGGGCTTCATTTGTCAGTCTGTTTACAGACCAAGTAGACTTTTCTCCCTAATTTCAAGGGCCTGGCGCAGTAGCCTAATGGCTAAAGTCTCTTTAATTTCAATGTGTGTGTCAGTGTCCTTTGGACTTGGAAGGGATACAGACTTCACTAGGTGCCCTTAGCGAAAGACTTAGATGAAAAGGACACCACCCCCAGAGAGGCAGTGATGTGAGACACGGGAGCAAGCGTCCCTTACAGCCCATCTGTCACTGTCCTGGGGCGCTAACGTCTTTGATGTTGATGGCCTCGAGAGGACAAGGCGGCCCAGGGATGGATTCCCAGCGTCCTCTCTGCCCACTGTCTTCTACAACTCTCCATGGGACTCTGCATCGGGTCTGCAGAGCACTTTAGGGAACCCATTCAAACTCCCTGGAAGCCCCAAAGAACAAGGACGTGGAGGGGCGCCAGCCCAGAAGGTCACTCAGACGAAGGCTTTCAGCTGGCCCTGCCCAGGGAGACAGCCCAGTCGCTTCAAGTCTCCCTGGGGATGAAATGTGAGAGAAGACAGACTTTGCTTTCATCTCCAAAAACATCAAAAAAAAAAAAAAAAAAAAAGAAAGAAAGAAAGAAAGAAAAGAAATAAACATCAAAACCCAGGCTGGGCTAAGGCCTCCAGCATGCATACATAAGTTATGGCGCATTGACCTGGTGGATGGCTCCAGCCCGGTAGGCCTCATCTGGTGTCAAGCGGAGCAGGAGGTGTGGGGCGCTCCAGGACTGCGGCCAGGATCTCCACCACCGGCAGCACACGACAGCTCTTCATTCTTATCTCAAGGGCTAAGAGGTGGGGCGCCACATTTCTCGGCACTTGCATCCCTGGAGAACCCAGAGGGCTCTTGGTCCTCGTGGCCGTTTGGAAAGTGTGAAGTTGACTCACTGACATCCTTTTCCTTCTGGAAGACCTGGTGTCATGGATCCCTGATCTGAGTGGGGCCTGCTTGCGTATCACCCTCTCAGGAGGAGACACTTCACCCTCATCAGGAAGGCCATGATGAAAAGGATGAGAAGCACTGGCTAGGAGGAGAAGCTTTGAGAACCATCAAAGGATTGCTAATGGAAATGTAAAACAGCAGGTGGCTCTGGAGGAGTTGGACAGTGCCGACCAGAAAGCAGGAAGACGCCAGGGGCAGGTGTGTGGTGCAGAAGCTAAGCCACCGTTTGGAATGGCTGCATTTCCCATCACGGTGCCTGGCCTAAGTTTTGCCTCTGCTTTCACTATCAGCTTCCTCCTAAGGCACCCACTGGGACTCAGTTCAAATACCAGCATCCCTGCCGCCAAGTGGGAAACCCGAGAGGAACCCCTGGCTCCAGCATTCTGTCTGGTCCAGTCCCAGGTATTACAGCCGTCTAGGTAAATGAATCAGAGCTGGAAGATCTCGCTATGCCTTTCAATTGAAAATAAAATAAAAATCCTATGGCAAAACCAAACCAAACCAAAACAAAAGCATCTTTTTAAACAAAATACAGTTGCCATATGAACTAGCAATTTACTCTGAGGTATCACCTAGAAAGATGAAAATACGTGACGGCCCATAAACGTGCACATAGTGGCCAGAAAGTAAAAACAACCCACATGCCGTTAATGGCTGAATGGATCGACGAAAATGTCATATACACACATAACAAACTACAGTTTAGCAATAAAGCCGACAGAGAAGCTGGTTTCTGGCCAGGCATCCGACACCGGCCTGGGATTGTTGCACTGCATATTGGAGTTCTTAGGCTCACGTCCCAGCTCCACTCCCACAGCCAGCTTCCTGCTAATGCGCACCCCAAGATGGCAGCCCCAGTGTAGCTGGGTCCCTGCCACCCACACAACAGACCTGGATTGGGTTCTCAGCACCCACTGGCCTGACCCAAGCCCTGGCCAGTAGCAGGCAGTTGGGGAGTGGACCAACAGATGGGAGCTGTATGGCTGACTGCAGCTCAAACAAGTACAATAAATAATAAGAGGCATGAGGTTCTGGCTTAGGTTGCAAGGTGGGTGAACCTTGAAAACACGAAGTGCAAAGGCCCCCTGTATACGGCTTGGCTTATATGAAACATCTACAGGCAGATCCACGGGCAGAGGGCAGACTGGAGGCTGTCGGGGACCAGGAGGGGAGTTGAGAAGTGACTGCTCATGGATCTTTTCACTCTTCACAGAATAACAGGAATGCTCTGGAACAAGAGGCACACCCAGCCAAGACATCTGCAACCCTTCACCTTGTCGCACAAAGCATCTCGTGACTGCGACAGTCACAGCTAACAAATCCCCGCTTCTCCTTAGGCCTAGGGGTAAGTCCTCAGCTGCAGGATACTCACCAAGGCTTGCTTCTGGGCTAATTCGGAACATTCCCAACCTTGCCATAGATCGCCCTGCTCACTCCTTGTGATAAAAATAATTCCAGGAGTGGTGCTGTGGCACACTCACACATCACGCAGAAGAGCTGGTTCCTGGCTTCCTTCACTCTTCCAGTTCAGTGTTCTAACGCATCTAGCAGACACATAAGTTCTTAGGGTCCTGCCACCCTGCTGGGAAGCCGAGAGGCAGTTCCTATTTCCTGGCCTCGGCCTGGCCCAGCTCTGGCTGGACTGAGCCAATTCCAATAAACAAGTCTTTTTCCAAGAGATAAATGGCCAACAGCTAGCTTAGTATTCTTGCCTTCTGCTTTTCCCGAAATGGGCAAGAAACATAGCAAATTTCCCTTCCATTATAATCCCCATGGTCAAAGCCATCCAGCACCCCATCCATCTCAAACACCTGGAACGAACACATTTATCCTCACTACAGAGAACCTGCATGGATGCTGAGCCTTGCCCGAAATCCACCTGCAGCCTCAGCGAGTCCGTTCTCTAGAGTCACAAGCATCACACAGATGAGCCCGCACAGGCAGATCTCGTCAGGTGCCAATGACCTTGGAAAGTCCTCAGAGGAAGGCAGATTGGGGAGAGGCTGGCTGTGTGTGGCAGGGCTGAGGCAGAGAAGCGGAGTTCGTGGAACATAAAGAGCCACAGAATCACATGTGTTCACCAACAAGCGGGGTTCGCTTGTTACTCTCAAAGGCACTCAAAGAAATATTTGTTTTTAAAACGTGTCCCAAGTTTGCTGTAGGAAAACACAAAGCAAGTTCTACTTGCATCACAAGGAAACCAGTCCACAAGCCATCGAGGTGCCCCCAGGTACCCACACAGTGTGTATCTCTCTACATCCATGTTGCACCCCCATCCTCCCACTGCCTCCCCATCTACACAGCTCTGCTCCAGGCTCTTCCTCGCTGGCCCTCCCAGGGAGCAGGCAGGACTCACGGAGGACCAACGAAGGACTTGGCATGGCCTCACAAAGCCAAGGAGTAGGGGCTTGAATCAAACCTCAGCTTTCCCACCAGCTCCACCTGCCCTGCTTCTACCGCTCTCCGCCGACACCTCTACGAGTGACCTCCACTTGCAGCCAGCAAACACCCCTTCCAGCTCCATCTTTCGCGCATTCAACCACAGACAGGACTTGGCCTACACTTCTGAGCACATGAAACCATTTGCTAAGACACACGAGGATTAAAAAAATAAGCTGCGTGACATTTATTTTGTCTTGTTAACATTAATATCTGTAGAAACATTTTTATTGTCAGTATAAAAATTAACAGGTTTTATTAAATACTTTCTCCAATTCTGTCACACGTAAAATCAGTGTAATCTGCATTCTCGATGCATGGCTGCAGCAGAGTGAGTGTGTGTTTGAGAAGCAAGACCCGAGCCTTTACTACACAAGCAATGACGTCGGCACGGGGCCGGGTCTGCCAGCGGGGTCCTGCGAGCAGCAGACAGTAAGCCACCTCTTAAGAAGCTGGAAGTGTCCCCCAAGCCATCGGCAGAACAGAGCTGAGTCTCCAGGGTGACAGTGAAGATCCTAAAAGGGCCTCTTCAAGGCCACAGAATCTGTGAGCCACCAATTTGCTGAGGATAACATGGGCTGGCCTCAGGTGTGACTCAGGGGCAGATGGTGGCCACCAGGAAAAGGCCCCGGGTGCTGTCCTTTCACGCAAAGGCTGTCCCCAGGAATGGATTAAGGCATCGTTTGGATAGGATGCTGGTACCATCCGCCTCGGGAAGTCCAGTGAGATGGCGCGTTGGCCCTCAAAACAACTTCTCAGGGACGCGTTCTTTAAATCCAGGCATTTGGGTCGTACAAGCATCGGACAGCAGAGTTGAAACACAAATAACTCCCCGCTTCACTTTCTCCAAATTAGTCATATATTGTAAATACTTCTCTTTCCAAAGGTTCTAATGACCAGTCAAGTCCACGCAACAGATGAACCATTCTGCTGCACTGTCTGCATAGGAATGCCACTTAAATTACAAAAAAAACTATAAATGATTAATCGTTTTGTATATTACCAATTCATTAATAAATTAATGTTATACCATTTTCCCTGAAAGCAAAAGTATTTTTCCACCTCTGCTCGGTGAAATTTAAGAAATTCTCTGTAAGAACAGTATTGAGCAAATAGCTATTTTTAAAAAAAAAAAACAAGGAGAGACCAATTTTCTAGGTGCACTGGGATATCCATTTAAAATCAATACAAAAAATAATTCCTCGTAAATATATAATATATATTTATACATAATTTGAATATATGTACATACATCCAGCACCTATATATACTGCATTTGTGCTCTGTAAGTGTGTGCTGACATATATTTTCCCCAATTATTACAAAATTAACAAGGATGGCAGAACATGGGTCTGCCTCAAGTCCCCAGTGGTCCTCAGCCAGTACCACGCAGGTCAGAGGCTCTGCATGGCTGTGCGTGGCCCCAAAGACACGCTGGCAGCAAAGATCACGTGTTTCCAGGCCTCCGCGGCTTTCCATGCGTGCCGACTGCGTTTACAATGACTCACTCCTCGGATCCACAGACAAGCAGAGACAGCAAGCTCGGGGAGGCATGGCCTCCCTGCTCGGGGCGGGCAGGATGCCGGCGCTGCCCCCGCATGGGGACAGGCGGCCGGCTCGGTTCATGTGTTAACAGTGCTGTTTCCATGTGGATACTGAGGAAGGCATGGTTCGTAAGGCATGGGGTCCGGAGAAAACACAGAGTCATCTGAAGAACAAGAACTCCTTGTGTCAGGGTAACTGGGTGAATACTGCTCGAGAGGCTGGCTGAGGTCCAAGTAGTCCTGCAAGAAGGGAAGAGAGACGTTTTTATTTCATCTTGAGTCAGGGTAACTGGGTGAATACGGCTCGAGAGGCTGACTGAGGTCCAAGTAGTCCTGCAAGAAGGGAAGAGAAGAGTTGGATTTCAAACACAAGGTCTTGAGATGCTGAAACTTGACACTGACCTGGGGTGCACCCTCCCCCCAACGGCGCAGACTGCCAGAGGCTTCCCCAGACCCCAATTCAGGGACCGGGAGGCCGCACCGGGGTGTTCATTCACTGTCATCAGGAAGACCACGCGGCCAGCATCGAACCACAAACCCGGCTGAGCAGCAGGTGCCACAGGAGGTCACCGCCACTCCCACGGGCCCCTTGCTGAGCCCTTCACATGAGAGCAAGTTCAAAATCAAGCCCCGGCCCCAAAAACACAGCCCAGGCTGGGGGTCCCCAGATGCCGAATGACACTGCACTACTGCAGCTCGTGCAAGAGGAATACTCCCGCACTGAGGCGGTAACTGTCCAGCTGGCACTCATTACTCTTCCAGCTGAAAACGTAACCAGGCTCAGGGAAGGCCTGGGCATCGAGCACGCTACATCCAACATGGGCTCTTCAAGGCAAGGCTAGGGGAGCAGAGGTGTCAGAGTCTGCTCCCCAAAGGGCCACTAGGCCACCAGTGCTTCCCTGGCTGAAGACAGGACCAGAGCCCCCTGCCTCATCTGGATGGCCCTAAGTCCAGAACGCCTTGGAACATTTGCACACGGTTCCAAAAAGTCAGTTTTCTGGCACTGAACTGTGAAAGCCAGAGTCAGAAAATCCAGGTAGGATCATGTCAAATTCCAAGGCGAGTGTCTCCAGCACTGTAGCAGCACAGGTTCGCATGCAGGCCGCAGCACTGAGTTACGGCAGCGTCCACATGGCCTCAAAGTCAAAACACTCAGCACCTGCACTGTAGCACAGCACGCTAAGTCACCACTTGCAACACAGGCATCCAAGCTGAGCCGCACTCCCTAACAGTGCCTGGGAAAACAGGGGAAGACGGCCTGAGTATCTGGGCCCCTACCACCCATGTGGAAAACACAGGTGGAGCTGCAGGTTCCTGCCTCCGGCCTGGCCCAACCCCAACCACAGCAGCATTTGGGGAGTGAGCCAGCAGATGGAAGATCTCTCTGTCATTCTGCCTTTCAAATAAATTAAACATTCGCTCAGGCCTTTCCGGAGAGTGTTTGCTGGTCCCTGCTGTGAAGCTCTGAGGAGAGCTCCCAGATGGGACGTGCCCTGAGCACAGAAACACGGGTGGGGTGGGGGGCTGGGCTCCCCCACTCAGAAGCCAGCGATGACGTGTGCGTGTGGTTTTTCTGAGGCTGGGGGCGGGTGCCCGGAGCACAGCTCCTAGCACAAGCAGCTCTGTGTTTGCGAGGGCTAACTGGGATTGCCGGTGGCTGGGCATCTTAACCCCACTGCAATCCATCGCCGGGACTGGCGGGAGACGGTCCCCGCCCCGGGAAGGGGGACGTGTCAGTTCCAACAACATCAGCCTGAACCACACGACCAGAAACCGCCACGCCCACCACTTCAAAAGAAAACTTTTTGCTTACAAAGATAAAAATGAAATTTCGTTCTAAATGGAACCATTTTTCTCCAGCAGCTGGGAATGATTTTCAGGAGGAAAGCAACTTTGAGTTTTATATCCGTTAGACAACATGGCGTGCTGCTTTTTTTTTTAAGGGTACTAGACATCAATTTTGGTCGGAATGAACCCACATTCGGTGTAAACACATAAATACAAAAGTGGTGAGCACAGACGTGGGCTCATTAACAGGGAACACTGGTCCTTCTGCCCAGTTTCTAAATGAAGCCATAAACTCGCAGATCTGATAGGAGAAAACCCAGGGGCATCGGTGCACTCCAGGGCTGGTGCGAAGGGAGCTCGGGCTAGAAACAACACTTTTGGCAGCAGAAGAAAGTTGTGTTTTCCCCTTGAACTGTTCCTTTGCTTTCAACTTATGAAGGTCAGCTGTGTTCATTTAAATGCAGTCTCCGCCTTCCTCCAGCACCGAGCTGTGTCCAAGACAACACTGGCTTCATACAGCCGAAATCTCTGCTTTCTCTCTGCGATTAAGTGCATTGTTCTCCTTCCACAACCTTTGGGAGTTTCCCTAACTTTCTGTTGGGGTCCAAACAACTGAGTGACTTGGGATACTGTGCGTCCAGAGATGCTTCCCCTGTCCCCCGGCCCAGACCAAAAGCCGGACACTTGGTCACGGACGGTTCTCACTCTGTTGCGGGGCTGTCCTGGCCGGGCTCCCCAAGGCTGGCGGAGCTATCCGCTGAAGGAGCCACTGTGAGACAGCAGGGCACTGCTATGGTTTGCCCAGATTTGTTTAAGTATTTTATGGAGAGCCAGTATTTTTTGCCAAAGAGTAGATTTCTTATCCAAAATGTCTGGGACCAGAAGTATTTCACATTTAGGATTTACATTTTGGAATGATGTATCTTGAGGATGGGACCCAGGCCTGAATATAAAATTCACTTATGTGTCACACACATCTTGCATTCATAGCTTAACGGTAATTTGTCATGAAAACATTTTGAGCACACCTGCACTCCTGCTGAGCCCCAGTCAGCTGTAGAATTTTCACGTTTGGTGTCCAAGCAGTGCTCACCGAGTTTTTCATTTTGGAGTACTTTGGGTTTTTGGATTAGGGAAGCTCAACTTGAACCCCTTTTCACTTAGACATCAAATAAGTCATTCACCAGGGGAAACTGTGTGTTCACATGCAGACAGCGACTGAAGGCCCCGCGCCATGGCCACCCAGAACAGGGCTGGGAAAAGTATAAGCTAGAACCGAACCCTCACTGCTCCAGTCAACCTGAGTGGCAACACAGCACCAGCGAGCGAGCGAGCAGGCTCCAGGCTCTTTCCCATGCTCCCCAAACTATTGCTGGGGACCACCCCTTCCCCTCCCTATGTGCCCCCCAGGCCAGCCACCCTAGGGTAGCCTGAGAGCCCTACCTTCCTCCCTCCGTCTCTGGTTTCATGAGTCAGAAAACAGAAACTGTAGTTCTGAGAACAAGCCACACTGGAGAACACACAATGGACCTCCAGCCACCGCGATAAACCATGAGGAGACGGCCGCCTCCGACGGTGCAGCCTGCACGCAGCAAGGCGCCTCTCCCAGGCCAGGCTCAGGCAGGAGGGCTTCCCTACCTCGTTGGTGGTGAGAGTGAGAATTCGATCCAAGTCTTCCACCAACTGCTTGAACGTCGGCCTCTGGGAAGGCACCGCGTGCCAGCAGTCCCTCATCATCATGTACCTGGAAGAGACGGATCTCCTTTGCAGTCAATTCCGTGGGTGCTGGCTGCAGGCTTGCTGCCAGGGAGAGTGCCTACAGCACCAACATGTACCAGGAATGGCCACCTTCCCCGAAGACTTGAAAATGCCCAATGACGTACAAGGACATCACCTTGACCCCTGATGCCCACGAAGGCAGCTGGGCCCTCCACAACGACATGTCTGTGTGCTTTTATTGGCTGCCGTGTGGCCAGCATGACATGCTACCATGGCATTGAATTTGTAAGGGGCTTCTGGAGGCCACAGAAGGAACCTGTTTGCAAGCTGGTCCCAGTCTTTCTTCCTCAAACACCCCTGCCCACACAAAAGCAGCTGCACCATGACGGACCTGTTGCTCTGGCTTTGTTCTAAAGACTTGCAACTGACAAAGGTGCCTTGGCTTAAAAAAACAAAAAACAACAACAAAAAAAAACCCCAGTTTGAACGTTGGGACTTTCAGGTCAGTTTTGGTGCGTTAATCCGCTGCCACAGGGCTGCTCGCTGACTTCCTGATTAATTCTCAGATAGGCCTCACTTCCAGGGCCTTATCTTGATGACGGGTTTCGACAGACCCTCTGTGTCAGAAAAAGCCACAGGAGCACAATCAGTGCCTTCATTCGGCAGCTCACCTCCTGCCCACCGTGCACCGAAAAGCAGTTGGGAGCCAACAGACGGGCAAATCCCTGGGAAGTGCCCCGCACACAGACTCAGCCCCTCTGCCGGCTAATCCTGGGGCCAAGGCAGGCGGCTCCTGCTCCAAGCACCGATCACTGCCCAGGACACGGGCTACTAACACAGCACAATCCTGCAGAACATGCACAAGCCAGCCCTACTACCCTGAAAAAGATACTACGACACAGGTCTAATTTTCTGTGCTTACATGGGGATACCAAGCAGATAATCAGACCCCAGTATGTGTGTGCACCCTGAGGACACAGCTCTGAAAAGCCCCCTTCTCCTGCCACCACACTGGGGCCAGGCATGGCACAGGGTCTCAACCCCACTCTACAAGGCAGCCCCCAGTGTCCTAGCCCGTCATCTACCCCATGGGTCACTCCTGTCACTCCAAGGGCAGCCAGCAGCCAGCACAAGCCAGTGGTCCAGGGAGACCAGCTCTGGTGGCCCTGTGACTTATATCCACTTGCTCCACCTTGGAAAGAACAAGTGGGCTTTGGCACAAGGAATGGTTGTCAGTATTGAGGTGCAGCCCAGTGGGGCCAGCACCTCTCCTCCTCTGGGTGCTGAGAAAACTGGGGGTCCCCCAAAAAGCTGATCCATGTCTTGGGGTGCCTTTCTGTGCATCCCAGGCTCTGGCAGGGTGTGTTGGGGGGGCTTACAGCTCATTGGTGCAATTGGCCGGCTTGTCCATCCTGTGTCCTTCCTTCAGCAGCTTGAAGAGTTCCTCCACGGGAATCCCTGGGTAGGGCGAGCCCCCTAGCGTGAAGATTTCCCACATCAACACCCCGAAAGACCAGCTGCAAAAAAAAGGAAACACAGCATCACCAACCCATTGCTATGGCAGGAACATGCATGGTCCACTTGAGGAAGTTAACACTGCCCTGGGGCCTGACAGTGAGACAAGGTAGGCTTCCTGCAAGGCACACCTCCCTGCCCTCCCCTGCCCCAGGTGCTGCGGACACCAGACCGGAGTTAAGCAGATGGAATTTACTACCCACCACCAACAAGGTGGCTGACATCCCTCTGATAAATGGGTTCATTTCAACATGGTGGCAGCAAAGCGAGGGTCTCAACTTCTAAGCGCCAAGGCCCCCTGTGCGGTTTCCTGGGAGCTGGCTTCCAGAATTGTGATCTGCCAGGGTGGGCACCGGCAGGAGGCGCAAGGGCCATGCCTGCGAGGTTACAAGTTCTCTCAGTGGCACGGAGGGCCAGTGGCAAAGGCCCTGAGACTGAGGGAGACAAAGAAGGGAGGGAGCCAAGGGGCATGCGGGCACACGGATGGGTTGCTCGGAGAAAGGGGGCCGAGTATCTCTTGGGTCTCTCCCAGGACACAGAAACACCTGCGTGCACCCACGTGCTCCCTGTGCACTGGGGACTCCTGACTGCTTCCTTCCAGGACGGACAGAGGGGCAGCTGCGGAGGCACAGAGAGTAGGCTCGCTCGCCCCTAGAGAACACCGGCTCCTCTCGAGTCAGTACCAACTCACAGCAGCCTGCAGAGCCAGCCCTTCCCTGGCTTCTCCCAGCGGTCACAACACTCAAGTCCATGTCCAAACCCCAAGCGGCAGTGGGAGCCTGGAGCTGTCAGTGTTTAAAATGACAGCATTTCTACTCCCATGCGAGAAGGTTACAAAGGATGCTCAGACATGCCGGGAGGTGTGTGGAATGAAACCCATGGGGACGATCATATCCCACTCAAGGACAGAGCCAGGCGAGAAGACAGCCAGCCAATCAAGCTAAGAGGGAAGGTTTCGGGATGCCTGCTCCCAGGGAGACTACACCAAGAGCATGGCGAACTCCGCGGCAGCTTTGTAGGCGTCATCCGTGACTGTTCCGGGAGGGACTTCCGCCCTGGCGGGAGGAGGCAGCAGTCCCACCCCCTCGCTCTTTGAAGCCAGGCAGATTAGTAACACAGCATTGGTTACCAGCCTACCATGAAATCCGCCCTCCCCCAGGCCGACTCTGCGAGGAAGGACGACGGGGAGGACACGAGTGAGCTTCACAGCTCTGTGCAAAAGCCAGGCAGAGGGGTTACTCACACATCGCTCTGGTGCGTGTACACCCGATCAAACAGGGCTTCTGGAGCCATCCACTTGACCGGAAGCCGCCCCTGCAGACGTGGGAAAGAGCACACAAGCCAACAGATTAAGACAGGTTCACTTTAGCTAGCTCAGCAGGGCTGTGCCCATTTTTGGGGTTGGCATTTTAATGGTTTTTACTGGTCAGCCACTGGGGCAGAAATAAGCTACACTGGCTGTGTGAGTTGGACAAACATGGGCTCAATAATAAAGACCATCCCCTTGGGTGCTAAATATCCTTTCTCTCTCTGTAGCACAAACACAGCCCCCGGCCAGCTTACAGGCAAAAACGAACACTCTTCAAACCCCATTCTTTTCTATGGAAGAATTTATTGGGGTTGACATTGTGGCATAATAGGTTGGGCACCTACAATGCAAGCATCTTGCATGAGTACCGAAGTGCCCAGTTCGAGTCCTGGCTGCTCCACTTCTTTTTCTTTTTTCCTTTTCTTTTAAGATTTATTCATTTGTATAAGAAGCAAATTTACACAGAGAAGGAGAAACCGAGAAAAAGATCTTCTGTCTGCTGGCTCACTCCCCAGTGGCCGCAATAGCTGCAGCTGAGCCGATCCAAACCCAGGAGCCAGGAGCTAGGAGTCTCCTCCGGGTCTCCTACATGAGTGCAGGGTCCCAAGGCTTTGGGCCATTCTTGACTGCTTTCCCAGACCACAAGCAGGGAGCTGGATGGGAAGTGGAGCAGCTGGGACTCTCATGGGATTCCGGGCATGCAAAGCAAAGATTTAGCCACTAGGCTATCACGTCAGGCCCTGTTCCACTTCTGATCCAACTCCCTGCTAATGCTTCTGGGAGGGCATCGGAGGATGACCAAAGTCCTTAGGCCACAGTACCTATATGCTAAATCCATATGAGGCTCTTGATTCCCGGCTTTGGCCTGGCCCAGCCTCAGCGGTTGCCACCATTTCAAGGGTGAACCAGCAAATCACTTCTTTCTCTGCCAAAACCAGAGGACTGGAAACTATTTCGAGATCCCAAATGGGTGGGAGGGGCCCAAGCACTCAGGCCGTGAGCCACTGCTGAGCCACTGCTTTCCCAGGCACTTCAGCACTGGAGGGGAAGCCGGCAGCTGGGACTCCAACCAGCACTCTGCTAGGGGATGCAGCCTTAACCACTGCACAACACTGCCCCAGGCCGCTGACTCTTCTGCACAGAACAGTCTCTTAGAGTCACTGATGTTAACTGGTGGCCTCCCTGTGCCTCCCAAGAATAGACAGAGGGTGAGGCCACAGAACAGCAAGGAGGAGCTGCCAAACACCCCAATCTCTTCAGCTCTGGATGAGCCAGGCACCTTCGTTAGGGACCGTCCTGCGCCCCAGCCCTTCTCACCACTTCACGGCCATGGACTTACATTGGTGGTTTTTTTGTAATAGTCGATATTGTTGATATCCCTGGCCAGGCCAAAGTCTGCTATTTTCATCACATTGTTTTCTGTGACCAAAACGTTTCTGGCTGCTAAGTCTCGATGAATGCACTAAAATGAAGAGAGACAGAAGCAATTACCTTCAATGCAACCCCCGTTCCCGTATCTGCAGCCGTGTCCAGCGACACGGGGACTCCCATGATGATGCAGCCTGACATCCTTGCTTTCCATACTCACTGTCAAACCCTCAGCTGAGGCGACAAGACTCTCACCTCAGCTCACTGGCCAGTCATCACCAGCCAGTCCAGCCTCTGTCCGTCCACATCACCTCTTCTTGCTCCCTGAGCGAAGCTCCTCGGTAGCTCAGGCCATGGCTGACTTCTCGCTCAGTTGTGGAAAGGGTCCCAGTGTGGCATGCTCCCTGAGCACCTGTGCTGGCTCATTCCCTTACCGAAGCATCTTGGCTGAAATCTCTCCTCTGGCCCTCGAAGTGAGAAGCTGCCCCGTGTGGCTTGTGCACGCCCACGTGTCCTTGTGATGTCAACTCTTGGACGAGCAAGCCATGGGCACAAATCCCCATCTCCGTTCCGACCCTGAGAGCCCTGACCTTGTTTCCATCAGAGGATGGGACATTTTCACAGTGCGGTCCCCTTCTTGCTGCAAATTCAAAGTTCCCTGTCCCCTCATTCGTTGCCTCTTTTGATCAGAGGTGGACACCAGCATTCTTCACACCTCCTCCAAGGCCTGGATGTCTCAACTCCAATAACCTCTCCACTCCTTCCCACCACCAGTGGCCTCCCACCGTGACCCCTCCAGTCCCACAGCCTGCCCCGTCGCCAGGCTGCCTTGTCCCATTGCCATGAAGCCTCACTGCAGCTTCCACACCTCCCACGACTCTTGTCTCAAAGAGCCAATCAAACCTTAACTGGGCCATCTCACAGCCAATGCCAACCAGCCCAGGGTCCAGTTCATCCCGTTTCTAGCCCACGCAAAGGGCACAAGCTACAAGCTGTCTCTACCCAGGACACAGGGACAAAGCACCCCAGTCCCTGCTCCAAGGCAGCAGATGACTCAGCTGGCAGAGTCTTTCCACCAAGGATGTCTACCTGTGTAAGCTGCTGCTAACATCCTAGCTGTACTTTCACATTCTGATCCCGGGGCCAGCGCTGTGGCCCCACAGCACACAAAGCCATCCTCTGTGACGCCAGCATTCCATTTAGGTGCTGGTTCGAGTCCCAGTTGTTCCACTTAATCCACCTAGGAAAGCTGCAGAAGATGGCCCAGGTGCTTGGGCTCCTGCACGCACGTCAGAAACCCAAAAAAATCTCCTGACTTCTGCCTCCAGCCTGGCCACTGTGGCCACTTGAGGGGTGAACCAGTAGATGAAAGATCTCTCTTTCTGTAACTCTTTTCAAATAAATAAATCTTGAAAAAAAAAATATTCTGAGGTACCAACATGATGATACATGCTGACCAGGGTCCCGTTTCTGGATGAAGCAGCCCAACAACACCCTCGAGCCCTGCTCCAATGTTCCTAGCGTGGCCTCATTACAGCACAAAGCACAGCTCTCTGCATCCGGCTCAGCGAGTCGGGACTCGCTCAAAAGCAGCTCACGCTCCCTCTGAAATATCAATAAGGAATTACTCTCACCTCTCCCACCCCCAACCATTTCCTGAGTGTGTTCGCTGCTCTGCCGCACGTGGACGGGCTAGCATCAGAACCGGGGAAGCAGCAAAGCCACCCAAGGCTGCCTGTCCCTGGTCAGGCGGGGGGGGCAGGAAACCTGAGAGCTCCTAGCCTCCCTGAGAGCCGTCTGGGCTGGAGCGCGTTCTCGGTCTTGGAGGCCTCTTCAAATTGAACTTCCAAGCTCCCGGCCAAGCTCTCCCGGTGCTGTGCTCCCGCCACCGTGCGCGCTGTGTGCTTGGCAAGCTGTGTGGTCAGGGAATCTGGCTTCCCCACCACTCGGCTCAGACCACACATCATCATCTGGGCGCCGCTCAGACACATGCTGCTGATGGCTGCCGCGACCACCTTCCTGGGGTGCGGGGACCCCCCAGATCCCCCTCCCTGCCGGGGCTCAGCAGCAGGAGACTTGGAACTCACACCCAAAACAACACAGAGTAAAGGCCAGCCAGACTCCCATCGTCCACACAGAGAGCTGGCTGTTTCCGATAAGCATTTAGCATCCCATTTGACTGGAGGTGAAGGTCAGTGGTTGCTGAGGGCAGGTGGGCGAACGCCCCTGTGGGTGCCTCTGTACAGTGAACTGCATTCCACTGCCACTGCAACACACACGAGTATGCCCATTTCACAGATGGGGAAGCCAAGGTTTGCTTTTAAAACAACCAGCCTGCTCAGGAGGTTTAACAGGAATGGAGAACTGGTAAAAAAAAAAACAAAAACAAAAAAAAAAAAACTAAAAAATAAAAAATAAAAAAGAGCATGCTTTGGATTAAAACAGCGTAAGTTTTTATTAAGTTGTGTAAGGCTTAACTAATCTGCTACCATCTGTACTGCTGTGTTTGTACACGTATCATGTTGACTGAGCCAACCTCACAATCACACCTTCAGAAGCATGTGCTATGTTTAAAAGCACACTGCTCCCAAGAGCCTCATTCCTGGCCTCTCCGTCTCTCACCAGCTTCAAACTTACTTGAGGTCATCAATGCCAAGGTGCTGTGGAACCAGGCAGTGCCTGAAAGAGACAACACTGGCCCCCTTGACCCAGACTTTCCAGCAACACCCAGGCCGAGAGCCTCACTGGGCCACACTGCAGGCCAGGGAGCGGGCAGAGCGTGGGAGAGGGTGCTTGACGACCAGGAGATAGAGGCCTGGAACCATCCTCCTCACTCCAAGGACCTGCATGTCCAAGGGAGCACAGGGACACGGCCACACGTGGGCCCAGCTTACCAGGCACTGACACCCCGAGCAAGGGATGGACTCCAACTCCATCCGAGTCCTTGGGGGGACGGGCTCATGCAGGATGCCGCACAGCATACACTTGTTGCCATGGCTGCAGAGCGGTGAGCAGGAGCAGCCGCAGCTCTTCTTGCCACAACAGTAAGGACCCTTCCACCCTAGAACCTGCTCCACTCACCACAGCCGACCAACTCGGGTCTCAGGTTACAGCCCTGAGCAGCCCCAGTATCCACAGGCCTTCAGGCAGGGGCTGCGCCGGGGTCACCACTGCCTGTGAGCCTGGCCTGTCTGCTGCTTCTCCATGGTCTGAGCAGGACAAGGCCCTCCTGACCTCTGTCCTTCTGGAAGCTACACCACGGCTCCCTCTGACCTCACAGACGGGCCTTCTCTGATTCCCTGCCATGTTCTGTATATTGGCCAATCTCTGAGAGCAGTCTCAGGGCCTGACTCTAGGCCCTGTCTGCTCCCACTGGTCCAGGCAGGCCTCACTGCCGATCCTCCTGACACCCACCTCCCAGACACGTCAAATGGGCTCAGGATTTTCCACTGAAATCCAGCCATGGACCCACTGGATTCTTAAGTCTTCACCACCTGGTGGGAGCCACACCAACTTCCAAATGACTTCTCAAGCTGGGATTCCAGCAGTTGCCCTAAATGGCTCTTTCCCACAAAAATCCTTCATCTGTAAACTGCACTGACCATCTGAGATCTACCTCCTGACTTCTCTCGGTGTCAGCACTGGTTCTAAATCCCATCGCTTTCATTGGGACAGAGCAGCTCAAACCCTGGGAGCAATGACCTGCTTTTACGACTGTCCTCAGCGGCACCCAGCGCCAACAGCCAAGTTTAGGACTCTTGTCTGGGTCAGCAAGACCCAGCCTGAGCTGTGCCCACCCCAGGTTCCTCCACTGCCCGTTTCTTGGTTTATCCACTTGTCATTCCCACATTTGCTGTCAGTCTCCCCTACTGTCATCTATGGTGCCTGCTCCAAGAGGTCAGGGACTATTCCTGGTCTGTCCACCCCACTGGAGGGCCTGACCAAGGCATGCAGGCATGCGCATCGGGGTTGCAAAGCCATTTTTGTTGCATGATTTAATGGATGGTGAAGCCCAGTTCCCATCTCTTTTGAATTAGTAGCAGCTCCATGCTGTGTACAAAATCATCATCATTATCATCATCATCATCATCATCATCATCTTCCTCCATCTTCCACCAGGCAGCCACAAAGGGACCCAGAGCAGAGGATCACAGAGGCACAGAGGACAGCCTGCCCTTCCAGGTGCCGCCATGCCTCTCTGTAGGCTTGCCTGACCTGCTTGGCAGGGCTGGTCGCTCCATGCATATGCATACAAGCACACACAAGAACACACAGGCACACACCCAAGGATGCTCAGCACGCACAGGCACTGCCTTGCGCACTTGCTCACGTGGCTGGCCTGGCGCAGGCGGCCCGTGCCGGCCAGAGGCCCTCACCTGTGGGAGGGGCTCCTGATGCTGCATTTAGCTGCACTGCAGGTAGCAGCAGGGCCCACCTCCACCCCAGGAGGTCAGTGCAGGGCTGGGAAGGGGTCATCCAGACACCTGTGTAACTGTTTTCAGAATAACTGGAATACTTCAAGTTCCCCAGGAAGCGGCATGCCTGGAATGCCGGCAATTCACCTCGGGGGACCTGGCCGCCTTCTCGCCACAGCGTCATCCACCAAGGGAGACAAAGTACCCTAAGTTCTGCGAGACCCTTCTGTAGGATCCGATGCTTACACTACTGAACATCCTATCAAAGTCAAACCCCAAAACACAACACCCAGGGGCAGTGTCTCGAAACTCAGTACAAAAACACTAACCAACCTTCAAAAAGCAACAACAAAAACAACAAAACCCTATCAGAACAACAGCGCATATTCTGCAACATGCCTGTTGCCCACCCAGCCAAGCTGCCGCTCACCCACAAGGAGCAGCTCTGGGTTTGTGAGGCTGCCCCGCCTTTCCATCCGAAGATGAATAATACAGAAAGCATTTTCCAAGGTCTAACAGGGTAGGCGAGGGCTTGAGCTTGCCAGTGAGCACCTCTGAAATGCCTGTTCAAAGCCATTTGTAAGTGGCTTCCGGCCCTCCAAGCAGAACATAAAGAACTCACTTTCTGAGAAGCCAGGTACTCCATGCCCCGGGCCAGCTGGTAGGTACATGACACCAAGTCCTTGAAGGTCATCTGCTCCTCGGGGACACGGTTGATGTCATAGGAGTACTCCATGCCGGGCGGCCTGCGGGCTCGCAGGTACTCCCGGAGGTTCCCCTTGGAGGCGTACTCGACAATGACGTAGAGTGGACCTGCAGACAGAAAAGAGGAGTCGCCTGAGCCGCTGACCCCCGAACCTGCCGGGGATACCCCAGCAGGGCCTTTTAGCTGTTCCAGCCCAGTGCTTTCTGTTCCTGATGTCTTAACACTCAGAAAAGCACACACAAAACTAAGCATCTGCTCCCTCGACTCTCCCAAAGCCACACGAAACAGGACGTGGCACGGAGGAAGCAGCCCTCTGCCCCCAGAGGCGCTCCCCACGCTTGGACCCAGTCACTCCCAGATGGAAACTAATTAGAGAAAACCCTATATGTGTACTGAACACAGACAGACTTCTCGTTTGGCTAGCCCCTAGACAATATGGCAAGAAGCCATTTATGTTTTAATATTCATAATAATTTATCTAGGGATTGAAAATCCACAGCAGGATGTGCAGGGCTTCTACACAAAGCTATGCAGTTTTTTCCCAAGAGACATGGGCATCTCTATAGACTGTGATGTCTGCTGGGGAGGGGACCCCAAAACCACTCCTTGACAGAGACCAGGGATAAATGCATCCTACATGTATGCCAGCCTCAACAAAGCACATACTATTTTTAATCACATGAATGAATAACAATGATACAACTTAAACATTTTTGAGAGACAGAGAGAACAGGTTTCCATCCATTCATCTGCTCCCCAAATGGCACAGCAGTTGGAGATGGGGCAGAGGCAAGAGCTGGAAAACCTACCCAAGTCTCCCACACAAGTGGCAGGGATGTCAAACTACCTAGTCTAGCACTGCCGAGCTAGGTCAACATGACGGGGGAGACTGCAGTCAGGAAGTGAACCCGGACACCCTGATGCAGAATGTGGGTGTCTCTCTTTCTAAAAAAATGTTGATTTTATTTGAAAGGCAGAGTTAGAGAGAGAGACACACACACACACACACAGAGACAGAGGGACTGACAGACCTTGCATCTGCTGACTTACTCCCCAAACAGAGGCCAACAGTTGAGGATAGGCCAGGCGGAAGCCAGGAGCCTGGAATTCTACCCGGATCTCCCACATGGATGCAGCCCCAAGGATTTGGATTGCTTCCCCATGTACAGTATCAAGGAACTCGGTGAGCAGCACAGTGCCAGGACGAGAATGGTGCCCCCGTGGGGTTCCAGCATGGCGGGTGGTAGCCTGATGCACTGTGTCACAGCACTAGTCCTCGTAGGTCTCTTACCCACTAGGTTAAAGGGCCAAAGAGAGGGGTTTGAAACCTTTCCCCTACACTATCCTCGAGGAACCCAGTTGGTTCCAGACTTTTCGCAGCTACATACAATTTTCACACACATACAGCCCACTTGAGCCATCCCCCAGGGCTCCTGCACTTTGAGGTTTCTTCTGGGTTTTGGCCAGAACAAACAGGAATGAATGAACTCTCCTTCCCAGGTTTCCTCTTGCGCATGCCACATGATTTCTCCATGGCACAGATCAAGGAGTTGGCAAACCACTGCCTACAGGCCAAATCCTGCCCAGTGCCCACACGGATAACACAGCCAATCACTGAGTCCTGTGATGGCTGTGTCTGCATTGCAGGGGCAGTGACAAGGACTTTGTGACAAAGACCCTGAAGGTCCTAAGATGTCCACCTCTGTGCTTCATAGAGAAGGTCTGCTGCTAGGTTAAAGACAGGCATTCCCAAATGTGTTGATGACTGTCAAGTTTATCCCCCAAGTGCAGCAGCCCTACAGTGAAGGAGCCTCGGTCTCCTGCCAGGTAAACTCTGTCACCTTCACACCGCTTTTTCCTCTCCCAAGCTCTCCTCAGCAACCCAGCCACCTGCCACCCAAAGTATCACGTGCCTTCCTCCATCCTCATTTCAAGGGAAGAACATCTCAACCAAAACACAGCACATACAAAACAAAAACCCAAGGGGCCAGCCTTTCCCAACATACTCTGCAGGTCACGACCTGAGGGCTCGCATGCCTGCTCATCCCCCAGCCACCTTGCCCCAGCCACAAGTACACGTCTGGAGCCTGGTCATCCCCCAGCCACCTTCCCCAACCACAGGTACGCATCTGGAGCCTGGTCATCCCCCAGCCACGGGTACACGTCTGGAGCCTGGTCATCCCCCAGCCACCGTCCCCAGCCACGGGTACACTTCTGGAGCCTGGTCATCCCCCAGCCACGGGTACACGTCTGGAGCCTGGTTATCCCCCAGCCACCTTGCCCCAGCCACGGGTACACGTCTGGAGCCTGGTCATCCCCCAGCCACCTTGCCCCAGTCACAGGTACACATCTGGAGCTGTTTGGGGGCAAGGACAGCTTTCCTAAGGGTATTTTACAAGTTCCTTAACCATGCACTGGAGTGCGCCTGAAGCAGGATCCATAAGCCCAGTCGTTTCTAAAACCCATTCTAACATGCAAGCTCAGAGTCCTTGGATGAAAGCATGTTTCCCTCCTACTCACCATCCTGTGTACAGGCGCCAAGGAGATTGATAATGTTTTTGTGCTTCCCAATCATCTTCATCATCTCCATCTCTGACACCAGATCCGAGAGGTCCTTCTCTGTGGCATCATCTGTGAACATCAAGTCAATCACAAAAGGGTTCCCTTCTCGTCTCATCAGCTGTCACTGAAGGCTGATAAACACGCAGCGTAAACAGCGTGACACTGCATCTCAAAGAAACACGAGGCTTTGCAAACCAGCTCCACTGTCACACCAAGGAAGCACGAAAGACCCAGACAGGAAACTGCTCCTCGCTGGGGTCAGTGAGGTGGACAGAGTCAGAACCCAGGCCTCTGTCCCTAAGGCCAATTCTTTTCCAGCTAGCCTTACAAATGCATTTTCACCAATGTTGAAATACTCTCGCCGCAAACTTCATGGTACCTGAGAACAACTCAAGACAACCGGCTAGAGGACGTGGGTAGACACTCCGCTCGCTACAGACCCAACACACCCCTTGGACATTCAGATGTGGTTGGGGAGACCCCTTGACTACACCTGTGTGTGTGTGTGTGTGTGTGTGTGTGTGTGTGTGCAACTGTACTTGGCTAGTCAAAGACCAACATCTGCCACTGGCCACTCTAAACGGTTGCAAGGCCTGTCCAGCAAGTTTACAAATCTTTGCTCTAATCTGAGCAAGGATGGGATCCACATGGGCTCAGCTCACTTTAAGTGACAAGATTCTCCTTGAGGGTCTCCTGGGATAAGTTTTCCATGAAACTGCATCGCAACAACATGCTTTTCAGCTTGCAAATGAAATGGCGTGTGTGTGCAAACTCTACACTGACAGCCATGGAGGAGGGGGGCCTCCCGCCACACAGAGCGAGTTGCACCTGCGAGTACACAGCTCGGGATGGGCTCCCTGTCTCTCCAGGATTTCAGCCACCCACCAGCTGTGACAAGGACTTTCCACAACAAGGGTTCCAGGACTACTGGAATGTGCAAAAAGGAATGTCTGCCAGGTCTGGCATAACCAGGCCGCCCTCAGTAGCCCCATCAACAAAATCGCAAGTACTGCAAGTTCTACAGATAGAAAGCTGGGCTTCTCCTCGCGCCTGTCCCAGGTCCAGAGCCAACATGGGTGATGTCGAGACACCCAGAGTAGGGAGACACAGCAGGATGCCTAATGGGTTTGGGGGGACATTCCACAAACATCCCCAGTGTCCTTGGAAGCCACTCAGACCAATAGCATAAGAAGACCAACGTCTTTGCGACTAGTATCGGCTGTCCCTTTCTTTCCCCAGGAGGGAAGTGACGTCCAGGCCCCAAAGGGAAGCAAAAGCCCCAGTCAGGAGCCAGGCACCCCCACAGCCCAAGGACAGAGCTCTCTACCGCAAACGTGGGCCACACGCAGTCCTCTGTGTGCGCCCCACAGCTGAGTGGGCGGCGTGACCCTGCCCACAACGCTTCCTCTACAAGAATTCTTCAAGAGGAAGGGGTTAATGAGTGAAAGTTCTGCCTGTGGTTGGTGCAAATTTCAGCCCTCCGTGGCGGCCATATCCACATACTGGGGCCACTGCTCACTTCTTTGACCCCGGGGCTCTAGTACCCAAGCCCAGACTGTTTGTGCCTCCTTCCCCTCTAGATCCTGGGGCCAATTTCCCTTCATACCCCAAACGCAGTGTACCCCTCCCCTTAGCTAAAGGTCGGGGAAACACGGAGGGGCTGAAAAAGACTCAGTAACTCTAACCTAGGATGCGACCACTTTCCAACAGACCTGGCCTCTCTTTTTTAGAAGCGCAAGATAAATAGTCTGTCCGAGATGCTGATTTATCCTGAAAACTCTTCAACCTCTGGGTCAACTATGTGCTCTCTGACCCCTGCCATGAAGGAGGTCACATGCCACAAAGCGAACATTCTTGATAAGAGCCGGCCCTGCCCCCACCCTCCTGCCTTCCCACTCACCTTTCAACATCTTCACTGCCACGGTGACTGCCTCCTTGGGCTTGTCTTTGTCGATCCCCACCGCTTCGGCCATGACTACTTGCCCAAAGCAACCTTCCCCCAGGGGTTTGCCCAGTGTCAACCTAGATGTGTAAAGAGAGGATTAGCATACAGCATATGGCCGAGGGGTGTAGTGCGGGAAATTCCAGAACTAAATATAAAAATCTTTCAGCAGCTTGCAAAACCATGGAGCGCTTATCATATGGAACTAATGAGACTGGGGTACACACGCACTCGAGTATTTTCTTAGTGACGTTTCGAGAATGTCAATTACGGGTGGAACAGCTATTAGATTTCACATTTGTATTCGCGATTTATTTTCTTTATGGAAGGGATCCTTGCTCGCGAGGTGGTCAGCTTTCCTAAGTGCCAACAACGAGGAGCTTTTGATCTGGAGCCAATTAAATATTTGAATTTCAGAATGTCTCAAAGAAAAACATTGAAGCTGGTCTTAGTTTTTGGTCCCTGTAAAGGGGTGGCTTTAAAATCACTATTATCCAAATACCATCGGATTTTATGGTCGCATTCCTTGCCAAGTTACGGGATGGCTCTTAAATGCATCTCAGGGAATCTCTCATTTTTCACTGAAGGAAAAAGAAAATTCAAAAAATCAGGGGAAGCACTTAAAAAACAATGTGAAGTTTAGAGAACCTTATGACTACCCGAAATTAACAACAAATCCAAAATGAACATCACAAATTACATTTCTAAGCTCTAGATCAAGGCTGGGGAGCCTTTTTCCTGCCAAGAGCCATTTGGATATTTAAACAACAGCCTTCAGAGACTGTATAAAATTATCAACTTGAAAATCGGCCTGCTATCGATTTACAGAATTCCGAGTCCTGCCTCCAGGTGTCTTGGCAGGACCGGACCCAAATGATTCCGAGGGATGCTGCCCACCCCAGCTTCAGACACTCTGCATCCATTACACAATGAGCCAGTCCTTGTCCATTCCGGAAAGCAACCCAACAGAGGGGTCTTCAGATTTGAGGAATTCACTGCCCCTGGTATCATAGTAGGTACACAGAGCTGGCAAGAGTGCAGGACAACAGAGAGTACTGTGTGTTAGGCTGAGGTCATTCTCTTTCTATCCAGATCTAAAATTAAATTTCACATCTTGGCCGAAAATAAACATTTGCATTGGAAAAATGGCTAATTTATGTCCTCCTGCCCCTGCTACTACAAGCCTAACAGGCCTGCCTTTGTGTGACTTCTGACTCCATCTAATGAAACTGCTTCCAAAGGGCCTTCATTCATTGGCAATCTGCTCCACCCACGTTGGTTCTCCACGCTATTTTGAAATGCACAGTACTCAGATTTTCCACACCCTCGGTCCCCCTGGGTGCGGGCTAACAGTTGGGCACATACAGACACCCACTGTTGACTGTGGTGTCGCAGGTGGCCAGAAGCAGGGACTGACCCTGAAAGTTACACTTTCCTAGCCCAGGATCACAGATGCCCTGGCACATGGGAATGTGTACGGGACCCCCTCCTTCTGGAAGCACACACACCAGGGGACTAGCAGGGCTTAACAAGAAACAAGCACGCCTTCCTATCTCCACACACTTCAGCCAGAAAAGTCTCTTTTTGGGTGCTTTTTCTGGGGCCTCTCTAGTGAAGGTCCAAAAGGCACATGTGAATGATGTTTGAATGAATGCATGAATGGTCTTTTCACTTGAGACTGACTTCGGCGAGCACTGTACCGTACCGGGAGTCCTAGCCTAGGCTCACATGAGCGCTGGGCACTGGGAGGCAACACTGATGGGCAGCCGTGTGAATGGAACCCCCGAGGGCTGCCTGGGCTGCCAGCCCCCCTTCCAAAGACAGTTGGTTCCCCTGATGTCTCTCAGTGAGTGGACATTAAGCGCCAAGCATCACAGGGACACACCATCAACACCATGCCAACAGGGCCTCCGCGGACAAGCCGAGAGCTTGCTCTGGGGTGTCTGATGCACAGACTCAGGGTGTCCATCCTGCCTCGCTGTCAAGCTGGTCAAACTCTACTTTCTGAAGAGGTGCTCGCGGGGCTGGCCGGCCCCCTGCACAGTGGGCGGCATTCCTGATTTCTGCCCCTGGCTGCTCTTGCTCCAGGGATGCAGCTCACGGATCATGTGACTCACAGGATCACCTGGCCCTTGCCTGGTGGAGCCGAGATCAAATTCAGGCCCAGGGAGCCCAAAGCACACGGACTTTAAGGTAGACAAGCAGAGTTGCAGCTCTCAGCAGGGCCTTGGGCTGGGCGTGCTTTCCCTGGCTGCCTCTCCGAACACCTCTACAGTCAGACAGATAACAGGCCCCACAGAAATTCAATGTGAAGCGTCACCTCTGAAGCTTTTCAGCTCCCAATTACATTAATAACCATGGAAAACAGCAACACTGGGCAAAGAGTTTTAGGACAATTTATATTCTGCATTTAATTTCTCCAAACAACCCAACTACAGAACAGTCATGGTCTGGTGGCCAGAAGCTGGAATCAGATCTGTCTCACAGATTGGATATTTCTACTGTGATTCCATGTGACTGGCTTTGAGTTGTCCAGAAATTTAAAAAATAACCAGACGCCATCATGTTTGGGGAGCAACCGGCACTTAATAGCTCTGGTGGAAAAAAAAATCCATTCTTTTTTCCAGGAGCTGGTTGTTTAGAAATAGAATCTCAGTCCTGTTGACATTGCCAGACCAAGACCGTTGCAATGAAAGAGAAACCATCAAAGCAATACCCCAGGAACGTCTCACGTCTCGCGCCTGCACGCAGGGAGGGACACGTCCAGGGGAAGAACTCACTTGTCTCTGGGAAACTCCCACTTGGGGTCCTCTGGAAGTTCATACTCAGAGACGCCCGCCAGCATGGGGGTGTCGGCCGCGGAGGACAGGCGGGTGGTGATCCTCACCAGTGGGGTGTTGGAGTTCATGGAGGAGCTCGACTCAGCAGAAACCTGGATACAAAACGCAAAGACGCAGGTGTAATCTTGGCTCCACCTCAGAAGGGAAGGCTGGAAGTCAGCCAGAGCCCAGCCAGCCAGAAGACTGCTTCATGGAGAGCGAGGAGGTGGGACTGGCCGAAAGGAAAACCAGGACGCCTCCTCCCCTGCCCTCCCTGCTATGTGGTCCTGGGTTTCCAAAGACCCGGCTTTCAAGTGGAAATGCTGTGCGGTGTTTGATGGACACACAAGTCTCCTTGTTGTCCTACCTCTTGGGGAGAACCACTGGACGCTGTGTAGACAGACGTCACTTGAGCCACTACTGCACTTTGCCTACACCTGCACTGGCGCCCCAGGCACCTACTCAAATTCTGGGTCACTGATGTGCTTGGCATACCTCGCAGAAACTTTCAGAAAACTTCCGATTTCCCATCTTTCATAATATAAAGTGGGCTATCCTAAGGAAAGAGTCCTAGGATCCGGGTATGAAATTTCCCAGTAGCCCCCAGCTCTTTTATTCAGAGTCACCCCAAATCAGGCCCTGGGGCCCACTCTCTGGTCCACCCCAGTCTTCCTGGACACTTGCTGGTGCCCAGAGCATTCGGTGCAAGTTGGGCTGCCTTGTGCCAGCCTCGGCTCCAATAGAGCATGAAGAAGGGAGGGAAAGAAGCACAAAACCCAATTCACAGTCACGCTGGGCTGCTCGTCCCCCACCTAGTCCCCAAGTCTGTCTGTCCCCTGACCCCACCCCCCAGTGAGTTTCTCGTCCACCCTGATTGGCTTCAGGCAGCGTCCGATAAACGAACAGGTCTTCAGTACAGCCTCCTCTGGGAAAGGAAGCTCAGTGTGATTGCACCAAAGCCACCCAAGGACACCACACAGCATGCACCTGTTTGGTACCACCTTATTCGGAACCGAGCACCGGACTGAGACCCCTAAGATTCGGATCATGAGGTTCAACGTGACCTGTCCATCTGGGATTGTGGCTTTCCCTGTCCACACAATTCCCCAGGGGCACTTGCAGGCACCTTGTCAGTCAAGCTGGCGAAAATGGAATCCACAACAACAAACCCTGCTGGGATCAACTTTCACAAGACAGACTCTGGTCTCACCTCACAGGGAACACAGCACTAGGATGCAACAGCTTCCTCTCCCTTGGTAAACTAGAGAAGATGCCCAAGAATAGCCTGGGGGGATTGACAGTTACAGGAAAAGGAAGCTGTTTCTAGCAATAAAAATCAATAGCAGAGGCCAATCTGGTGGTGTAGCAGGTTGGGCCACCATTCGCAAAGCCAGGACCCCGTATCAGTGCATCATTTGAGTCCTGGATCCTCTGACTCATCCAGCTCCCTGCTACTGGGAAGGCAGAGGAAAATGGCTCGAGGACTCGGGCCTGTGAGAGCCAGGCTGGAGTGTTGGGTTCCTGGCTGTGGCTTGGCCTAGACTCAGCTGTCAGACATCTGGGGAGGGAACCAGCACTTGGAAGACCAAGCTCCCTCTCTTTCCTCTTTCTTTCATATATGTCTCCCTTTCAAACAAATAAAACTTTAAAAAATAAACAAAATAAAATCAAGTATTAGGTAATAAAATTCCCATCAGGTTTTTTAACGTGTACATTTATAAGCCTTCTGAGCAGTCTTTCAGACAACCACTACTAAATTTCAACATGTAGGAGCAATCTATTCATTGTGTTATTGATTTGTTATTTATTTATTTATTTGAAAGGCAGAGTTACTGCAAGATAGACGGTGACAGAAAGAGAAAGAAAAATCTCCATTCTATTGGTTCATTCCTCCTAACGGCCACATCAGGCAGGACAGGGCCAGGCTGAAGCCAGGAGTCTGGAATTCCATCCAGGTCTCCCACACTGGTGGCACTGTCCATGTACCTGGGCTATCTTTCTATACCTTCTCTGCAGTGAGCTAAATTGGAATTAGAACAGCTGGAATGCTGGTGTCCCAGGTGGCGGTTTAATCTGCTATGGTATAATGCTGACCTCTGGCATAGTTTAAAAAAAAAATTCTTTTCTAATTAAAAAGGAGTAACTGGAGAATCCTTCATTTTGGATCAGAAAGCTTCACACCCAACTGCCCAGGCTGCACAGCCAAGTGACAGGAGCAGGCAGGGAAAGGCAAGAAGGCAACCGTGTGAGTGCGGTGAACTCACCACTGCCCAGTGAACACACCACAACCAGGCCAGGCACATGGCTCCCCCGGTCCCAGGTGTCCGACGTCACTGCTGGGAGCCGGCTGTATCCGCAGGAACCCTCAGAGAACATCAAGGCTTCCAGTTTGTACCGACCACACAAACACCCGAGTTCCACCCCACAAAGATTCAGGAACCTGTTTGCTCAAGGGTGTTTCCCCTCATCTTTCTATCCACCCAACTTATTTGGCACCGGCATGCTGTGAATGCAAAAGGAGCCAGGTGTTTCAAAAACAGAAGGAAAAAAAAAGTTTCCGGAGTGTTCTTCCTCCCAAGCAGACCACCTCGCCACTCTGTGCAGGGAGAACTCCTACTTGAAATTCACAAGGATGAGGAATCTAGAGCCAAGCCAGAAGAGCCGGCACACAGGTACCATGCTGCCCAGGTCTGGGGGATGCTGCGGTCAGAACACCACACCCCTCCATGAGCAATGCCCCTCCCAGGGTGTGCGGCATGCTCCGATCACGGAGGGGAACCGGCTTGAGCGATCATGGGCTACGAGTCACGGTCTCAGGATAAGGCTCACACCCCGAGCACGGAGACAGGTTCAAGTTCCAGGCCGTGCTCTGCATTCACAGCTCTGGTCAGCCAGGCTCCCAGGAGAGGGTGTGAGGACATGGGCAGGGTCAAAGTTGTCGGAAGGACATTGGCCATCACTGTGGAGAGGGATCATGGTCTGGGGAGGCAGCAGGAAGTATCTTCCTCCAAAACTTTCTGGACCATTGGGACTTTATTACCAGATAGATGCATTTTAACAGAACTACACAATATTGTGTGTGTGTAATTTGAACCAAGGCACGAACAGGGGAAAAAAAACGAAGGGCACAGCTTGAAGTGAAGTGACTGACAAGAGCATGGGACAGTAAAGTCGCCACGCCTTCCTTTTGCCACCCACCAGGGCTTCGGGGCATCACTGCTACCTGGGATGTATCCCCAGGAGTGAGGGGACAGCTCCAGGGCAGACACCTGAGTGGGCATAGAGCAGACTTCAGCAACTGCTCTGCAGCCCACCTGCTCAAGGCCACCAGCAGCCCACACAGCGAGCACCAAGCCACACACATCTCCCAGCTGAGGGCTGACAACACCATAGAAACGGGAAACCTTCAAACCAAATATGTAAAAACCATTGGAAAGCGGGGTGCTGTCTCAGACCTTAGCCCCAGGGATCGTGTTTACAAAAAGGATGCTCGGAGGGATTCTGTTCAATGCATCAACCCAGAAATGGCTCCCATAAAAACACAGGGAAACAGGTAAGAAAGAGCAGCAGTAGAGGAAGCCAGCAGGGAATCCGAGGGCGCCGTGGCCGAGGTACATCTTAATTTTACCTCCATGCATTTTCGCCACACTTTTAAAATCCCCGCGGGAGCTGTGAAACAGCACTGCTTTCTCTCCACTCGTGCTGCCTCTGAAAGAGACCCTGTTCTGAGGCTGGGGGGGGGGGCGGTGCTGACAGCTGCTGCCCCCCGAGACCCCATGGCTCAGGGGCTCGTGGCCTCGAGTCACACCCCTCGGCTCCCACCCCGCCACCCCCTCTCCTACACACCCTCAATCACTTTCTTCGGCTGCACCCACCGTCTCCCTATTCCGTTCCTACGGTTTGCGCCTTACCCGCAGGGAGGGCTAACTTCGGTATTAACCTGCTTTCCCCACTGCCCAGGCCTGGCCCATTCCTCCCTCCCCCACCCCGAGTCTGTATTTTCACAGCCTCCACCTTGGCATCCTGGAGTCTCTTTGCCAAGTGCCATAAATCAAGCTCTTAACTAAATGTGCTCTGTGTCTAGCGGGAGACTTGAGAGGACGCTGTGTTGTCCTTCTTGCCTTAAAGGGCCATGTCTCTTACAGACACAGGATCCTCTGTTCATACCAGGTTAGAGCCAGCTCCTGAAGGGATGGCAACAGCACAGGCCAGATGCTGGCAGGAAGCCCTTGAACCCAAGCCTGGCAACTGAACCCTTTGCTTCCTGCGCTGTGGACCCACTTCCCAAACCAGAGCACATAGCCCCAAGCTCACACCCTCTACGGGAGCCCAGGTCTCTCGTTCCCCACGGCCAAGGGCGGCAAGCTCCGCACCATCCATCTCAAACCAGGATGAAACAAATTCTCAAAAGGCGAATCTCTCCCACAACTCCGTAACAAAAATTGGAAAGTCAGACAAAGCCATTTGCCACTCTCCTTTCTGATGAAGAAGCCCCTGTCTCCCCGAAATCTTTCTCTGGGACCCCAGGAAAAGAGCTATGAAAGCAATGGCATGCCAGACCCAGGTCGGTTCCCAGGCAGGCTGCCTCACCTTCCTGGGCCCACGAGCAGAGGGTGGCCCAGGGAAGCAGGAAGGGCAAGGGGCTTCCAGGGAAGTCAGCTGTGCCCACTCAGATCACCCGAAGGTCTCGGGCAGCAGCCGTTTCTTAGACCACTTGAGCAGCCACAGCACACAGCTATTCCTTCAGCTGTGAGGCACACAGCAGCTTCTGGAAGCCTGTCAATGGAATGTGCTATGTCTGATGTCCTGGAGCACTAGCTCCCAAGCCCTGCATCCCTGCCCCTCCACGCCCCAGCAGCACTCCAGGTGCCTTCCAGCATCATTACAAGAGATGCCCTTGAGAGACCCTGGTTCCTCTCTGGTATCTGACCTACCTACATCAGCAGCTGACTCTGAGCAGCCCTGATGGGGCCAATGGGGAAGATGTGAGCCACAAAGCAGGAGGTATGTTTGGCCAGGGCCCAGCTTGAGCCAGTGGAGCCTTCTGGGAGCCACAAGCCGCAGGGGAAGGATCTGACACTTGCTCTGTGACCCGCCTCCAGAACAAGCCCCA